CCGCGTCCCCGGCGCTGCCCCCGGCGGCCAGGAGGCCCGGGCTCCGCGCTCGCCGCTTGCGCGCGCCTCTCCCCACGCTGCGCGCCGGCGCCCCGCCCCCAAGGAGGGGTCACCGCGCGGGACAAAATACCGCAGTGCTCGCCCTTCGCCTGCGCCGATGGGGAAAGCGGGGAGGGAAGGAACCTCCCCGGCGCGGGCTGCAGGCGGGCTACACGCGGGCCGGGTGGGGAGTAGGCACCCGGATCCAGGCCGCCGCAGCCCTCTTCTCTGCACCTGGAAGACTGGCTAGAACCGGGAAGCGGTTTCCCAGAGTGAGGCTGAGTCAGGCCAAGCCCCGCCTAATCACGGGGCGGGGGCACCTTCGCCTGGAGGATTGGGAAAATGCCTTGATTCTAAAGGCAATTGTGGTAAATGCAGTGAAAATTTGAGGAATTAGCAACTTACCTAAACTAAATGTTACCCTCTTCACTTTCACCCCTAGTCTCCTAAGCAGTTTTGTTTTGTTAAGCAAAACACAAAAATGCAAAATCAAAAAACCCCTAGGCCGTCCAGCAACATGTTTCTGGAATATATTGCAATCGCTCAACTATGTAAGAGACAAACAATAAACACTCATTTTGTTTCCTAATACATTTTGCTTTCAGTGGTACAAGTTAGAACCCAAGGCCTTGAGAGACTACTAGATTACATTTTTTAAACTACCGTATATTACTACAATTCCTGACCCCTGGCCACTAGCAGAGTCTGTCAAAGGCAAGGCATAAAGTTCCAAAGGTCATTAGATGTGGCACCACATAAATCCTTAGGATTGTGTTTTGTTGCAGTTTCACCACAATCATTCACACTGATGACCCATATAGTAAGTTTTTATTCTCATTGTCATAGTAATTTTAAAAAAATTCTGCTGGCACATATGCCAGTGATATGATGCACTTTACCCAGATTTGCCCTAAAAGAGGATAGCAGTATTTACAGATGTAAGATTAATATTATTCTCCCCAGCTAACTGGAAGATTAGAGACAATATTTGTGTTTACTGAGGGTTTACTACATGCCAGTGGTTTAGATACCTCCTGTCGTTTGTGCTTTCACACCTACTATTGTCACTGACCACTTAGGTTCATATGCTCAGGTTCCTTTGCTTGCTACTGATCAAATCAGAGGAGGCCATTTGTTTTGGTAAAAGGGAAAAAAGATTTATTCAGAGCTAGCACCCAGGAG